AGAGCACACCGATATAATCGTTGGATTTCCCAATGTCGTAATCCCACACAGATATATCCAGGGACTTCTTGGCCAGGTCGCTGTGTTTAATATCGTAGAAAAATTCCTATCCAAAATGCGAAGGGTCAAGAAGTGGAAAAGAGCTTCCAGGAGCAGAACAACACCACACCCTCACCAAAGGCGGGGGGGCTTCAGCCTTTGAAGTAGGGAACTGATTTGCTACCAGCTTCACCCTGCTTTCTTTCCCTCCCCTTGGGCATCCAAGTGCATTTTTTTTAAAGAACGGCACGTCATTTTTGAAAAAATATTTTTAAACCATTTACACCACCCCCCATCTAAAAGCAGTGACGCTGGGCGGCAAAGAGGACAAGGAGAACAGAGGTTCTCTTCTGGAGCAGGCTGGCTGGGACATCGAGGTCTGGAAAAACTTCGGGGGGCACAAGAACCTCAGCCACGCTGCTGCCTCACCTCATTAAATTCTGGGTTCAGCGTCTTCTTCTTAATCTGCGTCTTCTGCTTGGCCTTCTTCCCCATCTCAGGCTTTAAGCAGCTGCGAAGGAGAACGTATGGAAAGATCTTTCTAGAGGACAAGTCGAAAAGCAGAAAGGAGCAAAACGAAGCGAGATCGTGCAGGGGGGTGCAAAATCACCCCCCCAAATCATGGGTGATGTGGGGAGGTGACTTTGGGGGCTGTAGCCTGAGGGGAAAAAAGTGTAAGAACTTCAAGGAAAAGACCTCTGGAATAAATGGCTATCGTGCCAATATGGGTACCCACGGACGTACGACTACAACTCCCGTGAGCTCCAGAGAGCCCAAGCGCTGGCTGGAAAGGATGGGAGTGGGAATCCAAGGCTAGAGCCAATCTCGAGGGGATCGAGTGGAGGAGGCCACAGTCGGCAAAGGCGGCTTTCCCAGGGAGGTGGTGAAGGGCCCTTCCAGAAAACGGTGCAAGGGGATGAGCTTCACTCTTTCTGCCTGCAATCGACTTCTTCTCGGTCCCAAATCCATTTCTTTCCCCTTCTGGAGCTTGGCTGGCACAGGGACAGGGCTGGCAGCAGGAATGGGCTGACCCCCAACCCAGATGCCTCCTCTGCCACGCCTGCACCGGCCCAGCGTTGAACAGACTGGCCCTCTCTGCTCCCTGGGCCGAGACTGCACGCCCCCAGAAAGAACGGTGCCCTTTTCTGAGCCTGGCCAGAGAACCCCTTGAACTGCCAGGCTTCGTCCAGAAAGCGGGGCTTCCTGCTCGGTGGCAGAGGCAGCCCAGGAGTGACCTACATTTTGACAAAGGGGTCCGAGTAGCCATTGGCGTCCATGGCCGCCAGGTGGACGCAGCGCACAATGCCGACAATCAGGCCCCCTTTCTGGGTGCTGTACATGAGGGAGACCAGGATCTTTCCTCGTTCTTCCACCTCTCCTCCTTGGTCCATCTGTGGGAGACAGAAAAGGGGGGAGCACGTGTGCATTGGAGGAAAACCACTCTCCACAGAAATCATCATCCCCCCCAATGCGGGGCAGGGGAGGTCCAGCCATCAGAAGAGCACCTTAGAGCAGGGTTCCTCAACCTTGGCAACTTTAAGACGGGTGGATTTCAACTCCCAGAATTCCCCAGCCAGCAAGGAGTCCTCAT